GTAACATTATTTTATTCTTCTCTTTCTGTCATGATTTTCTCTTTGCCGCCTCTCTTACAGCCGCGGCGTCAAAACGAGCAGCTTAATTGGAACAGGTGTGCTTTGACCCTTGATGGCGTCACATCGATCACCTCTGAAAAGTTTGTACTTGCACAACAATGAGGTGTTGGTTAAAAACTGTAAGAACACCCAGAAATCTTTGGAGCTCAGGTGAATTTGACAGAAACACTGTTCAAAGTTTAAACTGATCACACAAAAGAGGGTTTTCTGTGACTCAACTGGACATTTGACACTTGTCATGGTTTAGGTTTGAGCTTGTTTTTCCAGACATTTTATTGATAATGATCATTCTGCTGTCAAAAAATATATAAAAGCTTTACATCCAAATGTAACGAGCCTCCCATTGCTTCTAATTCTGTTTCCTCTTCAGGCTTTCCACAGTGAGTCGTCCTCCTCTATCTCTGTCCTCTGCGTCCTCTGTCTTCACTCCAGCTACCTCCATGTCCTCTCTAACTAAATCCATGTATATCCTCTTTCTCTTTTTCCTGGCAGCTGCATTTCTAACATCCTTCTACCAATATACCCCCTGTCCCTCCTCTGGACATGTCCAAACCACTGTCCCTCCTCTGGACATGTCCAAACCATCTCAGTCTGGTCTCTCTAACTTTATCTCCCAGTTGTTCAACCTGTGCTGTACCTCTGGTGATCTCATTCCTAATCTTATCCATCCTTGTCTCTCCTCAGGAGAACCTCAACATCTTCATTTCTGCCACTTCCAGTTCTGTCTCCTGTCTTTTTGTCCATGTCTCCGTCTCCAGACCATACAACATGTCTGGTCTCACCACTGTCTTGTAAACTTTTCCTTTGACCTTTGTTGACACCTTTTTGTTACAAATCACTTCTGAAACTTTTCTCCATCCACTCCATCGTGCCTGGACTCTCACCTCTTTCACCTGCTCACACAGACTCATGTTCGTGCTGCTGTTGTTCAGTGTATTGTTTTTGTACTATTGGTGTTTAGTGTATTCTAAGTTTAGCATTTTTCTTAGTTCATATTTTTTATCTTAATATTGTTTTTCTTTACAATTTATACTTTTGTTGGATGTAACTGGGACCCTATGTACACAATTTTGTTCCACCACATGTGATGCGAATGACAAATAAAGAGACTTTGACTTTACCACACTCCTCATTTTCCTGGACAGTGGACCCCAAATACTTGAAGTCCTGCACCTTTGTGACCTCTGCTCCTTGTAGCCTCACTGTTCCACCGGCCACCCTCTCATTCACACACATGCACTCTGTCTTACTACGGCTGACTTTCATTCTTTCAAATTTATGCACCTCTCCAAGTTATCTTCCACCTGTCCCCTGTTTTAACTTACTGTAATCCATCATGTGTGAGACAAGGGAGAACCTAAAATGTTTGAGACCAGGTGAAAATAAATGAAAAAATACAATAAATGACCTAAAGTTCATAAAAAAATAAAGTCCAGAGGAGCCTTCTGGAAAAAGCTGTTCCTCAGTCTTTTCTGAGCTTTGAGGGATGGGAGGGAAACTATTGTTTTCAGCACCCTCAGAACAATTTTCAAACCAGACTATGATGAAAAATGTCCAGATCTCCACATGCTGGTAAAAGGAAGTCAACACAGCAGCACTGAGGCCGGTATGCTTCAACCTCCTTGTAAAAATATTAAAAAGTTATTGGTGAGCCTTCTTGCCCATGCTGGCTGCATTTATGACCCATGTGAGGTCATCACACATATACTGGGCCAAGTATTCAACTGTTCTCACCTGTTTTACACAAATCTGTCTCCTTTCCTTTCTATTTTTAGGGGGAGCGGTGACGCAAGAGGTTAGAAGATGGGCATGTGATCAAAAAGTCGCAGGTTCAACTCCCGGTACCGTCAACATCAAAAGGTGGAACACCCACACCTGCCTCCACCCTGGGCCCCTGAACAAGGCCCTTAACCTCCGCCATCTGCTCTCTAAACAGGTCTCTCTTGAAAATGAGTTCTCGTGGCTCAATGAAACTACCTGTATAAATAAAGGGTAAATAAAATAAAATAATCTTGTTGTTGTTGGAAATCAATCCAACAACAGCAGTGTCATCATTAAACTTCACAAAATCATTTCCTGGACACCTTGCAGAGCAATCGGATGAGTAAAGTTTACATGAGGGGGCTCAGGAAGGTCCTAATCCCCTCAGAGCGCAGACAGCCCACATCCAAACCCCCATAGACTTCCACTGTACCTGAACTCAGACTGATGTCCTCAAAACTGGAAGCAAAGTGTCTTTTCAACTCATCATATCTACAAAACACTGGAAATATAATTTCCATGTCTATGACGGCCAGTCGCCTCTGATGCCTACTGTCCAGGGATAACCAGATACTTGTCCAACAACATGCCACCAGGATGCTGCATCAGCTCATGAGTAACATGAGCAGGATCAAATAGAACGTTCTAAAGTAACCCAACAAAGTCCACGCTCAATAATCCTTCCTCGTCGACAGTCATTTCAAACTGGTTAAAACCAACAAAGTCCATGCTCAATAATCCAGATATACAATCCAACAATTTTTAGTCAGGTCATCTGGACATTTTTTTTTTTTTGTGTGTGCTGAAACGTTTCACCATCCATCCAGAAGGCTTCATCAGTCAAGGAAACACACAACACAAAACTGATTCTTCCCCCAAACAGCTTACTCCAAAGTGGAACAAACCAGTTACGCTGGTGCCAAGATGGTCTCTTTGGCACGCCCCCTCCTCCAGTGCCAGCTCTCTTCCTTGTCGACAGTCATGTCAAACTGGTTCAAAACCAACAAAGTCCATGCTCAATAATCCAGGTATACAATCCAACAATTTTCAGTCAGGTCATCTGGACAGTTTCTTTGTGCTGTAACGTTTCAGCGCAAAGAAACTGTCCAGATGACCTGACTGAAAATTGTTGGGTTCTAAAGTAAGAACTTTAACCTTTCGAGACTTACTTTTTTTCTTTCTACTATATTACCATGGTGACCCTAATAAAACACCTGGCAGCAGCTTTAACACCTTGTTTACTTTTAAGACTAAGCTTAAGTCTTTCCTTTTTGATAAATTCTATAGTTAGGGTCAGCTTGGGACTTTCCGGACGTATCCCTTAGTTATGCTGCTATAGGCTGATGAATTGACCAATTTCCTCTCTGCTGGTCTTTACTTGCTCTACCTGCTTGTATTTGTCATTATTTTAATCCTTAATGTGTTTTGTCTTTCTTCCAATAGAAAGTACACCTGGACCTGCCATTCTGTGTCTGTTCCTCCTTCCTGTCCTGGTCACTTGTACCGAGTCTGGTTCTGCTGGAAGTTTCTTCTTCCTGTTAAAAGGGAGTTTTTCTTTCCACTGTTGCCTTTGTGCTTGTTCAGGATGGGAGACTGTGACGAGGTGAAGATTCAGCACAATCTGCTGGCTTCCTTTTACTAATTGGCTTTTATAATTTTTGTGAATGTTTTTGTTCAGTGCTGAGACTTCTGTAAGGACTTGACACTATATAAATAAATTGAATCTTTTTACCCTTACAGTTTTTACATTACATCTTTTCTCAACTTTGACTATTACAAACGGCTCATGTTGTTAATGGGTTTTAGAAATATCTAGTTGAAATTATCCTAATTTGCAGACAAATTCCGGTTAAAAAAGACAGAAAGAGCAAGCACTTTCAACTTTTATTAATTCATGAAAGACTTAAAAGAGGCAAGATCTGATGAATAAGCTGGGCAAGGCACTGTCTGTCAGTTTACAACCGTTCAGTCCTTTCTGACTCGAGACAACAGACACTTCTAGAGACCGTTTGCTACAATCATGGTGCTAAAACACAGAGCTTTATGTAGAAAACACTTCCATTTGTTTGCTTCTTAACATTTCATGGTAAATACATGTAGAAAACAGGAGTACACACTGTATTTGTGGGGGAAAGAGCATCCCGGTACAAGTTTTTAATTCGGTAAGAGACATGAAAATAAAAGTTTGCAAAAATATCGATCTCTAAAATACATTTGTGTGAATAGATCTTTAAAACATTAATTTCTAAACGACACTAAAAAACAATTTAGGGAAAATGGCACCAGAAATTCTTAAAAACTACTTTAATTTATGGCACGTTTTATTATCTGCATCACCCTTTTGTTCCTTCAGTTCGCTGCGAGTTCTTCAGTAAGTTCAAATGTTCTAGTTTAACAAAAACAGATGGGTTTTTTTAAGAAAAAATTGGGGATTTCTGTTGTGCAATAACACCCCTCCCGCCCCCAAATGTCTTTTTGGCATCTCAATTTATCACAACTGTAAAATCCCAATTATAAAGCACGCAAAATGAAAACGAATGTGTTTAAAATGTCCTTTCTGACTGGGCTTCGACTAAACTTCCAGTGCACATCTGAAACAAATGCAGTTTTTTTAAACACTGGGGGGAAAATTGGTCTGAAATTCCAAAAATACAGCCAGGTAATTAATTTAAACGTCAATTTTTACTCATTCGGATGATTTATTTGGCAGTCGTTCACCAGAAAACTAAAACAGAACTACACAGCTTAATTTAAAACAGAATCATTAACTACATTCAGCTCTAAACGTGACCTTATTTAAGGCAAGATAAATATTACTAAATTCAAATGACAAAGTTAAAGTCAAATATTAACCGAATGATTTAAAGCTCAGTGTTTAAAGGCTGAAAAACGGTTTGTTGCCAATTATTTTAAGTGTATGAAAAAGCTTAAAGCAGCAAATCAATAAAAACAAAAACTTCTAAATGATCAATCGTTAATATCACAGAGTGGGATGTAAATACTGTCTGAGCTGTAACAGATGGCAGAAATTAAAAGAACAAAATTTAATTGGCAAAAACAAACAAACAAAACAACATAATACTGCTCTGATAATCCTTGAACACAGAATCATAATGTATGAAGGGATGCATAACGGGGAGAAGCCGTGCGTAAAAGAAAATCCGGCAGAAATCTGCGTGTTTGATCCGGATTTTAACTTTTCAATTCAAGTCTGAAGCTTTTATTTTGACACCAGGATACTGAACGGGGACAAAAATATAGAAAGAATCTAAAAGTTCATGCTCGCTGTGTCATAAATGCTAATATGCTACATAAACCCCTCATCGGGAATGTACTACTAAATTACAGTATGTCCCTTTAAAACCAGTGACTTGCCTAAAAATCTAATTTCGAAACAAGAAGAATTGGAATTTTCTGGTTCTGTACACTGTGCCGTTGCTTGTTGCAGCCACGATATGTTGCTGAGCTGATTCGTTTGGGGAGCGGAGAAGACAGCTTGGGGTGAAGCAGGACAACAGTCCAGAAAGGCCCCGCCCCCTGTGCGTGGGCGGGCATGGCGCATCACATGCACTCGAACTCGTCGATGCGCTGTTTGGTGTTTCCTGACCGGATCTGTTTCAGGGTCCTGTACTTGTCGCGGCCGGCCTTCATGTTCTCTGCATGGATCATGTCGTTCACCGTTTTCTTGGTCTCGTCCCGAGCGTTGGCGAGCTCCGAGCTTAAAGCCTGCACACACACACACACACACGCACGCACACACACATTTACAGCAACATGTTGCAGTGATACAAATCAAGAGGTTCATTCTTATTTACGGCGGTGCAAGACGATACAAATTGTGTTTTGCACCATTTTTCTAAACTGTTTTGCAACTCTGTTTCCAAAACTGTGGCAGGCTGTTCAGAAGAACTGGGGAGAAGTTTAAAATGTGGAAACTGAAAATTTCATCCTGAATTTATTGTCTAAAGTTGGGACAGAGACATGTTTACCACAGTGTTGAATCATGTGTTTTTAACAGGCTGTTGGTGAGAGGTGAGGAGAGCAGCTGAGGTCTGTGTGGAGCTGAAACGTTTGGTCTTGATATGAGATTTGACCTGTTCAACACCAACATCCTCCTTTGTTGCACTTTATGACTGTTAATATGAAGCATGTGTGTTTTTGATCTGCATTTTATCAATCAACCTTTATTTATACAGGTAAATCCCATTGAGCCTCGAGGACTCATTTACAAGAGAGACCTGATTTCAACAAAGAAAGATGATTTTAGATTTTAGAAATAAACAAAACAAACAATGTAATTTGATAAATTTTGCCGCACTAAATATATGCCGTATTTTTCGGCCTATAAGTTGCATTTTTTTTGTTGTTGCATAATTTACATCCCCTGCGACTTATAGGCCGACGTGATATATTTATTAATTTTTTCCCATATTTATAAACCAATTTTTGGCTGAGATATGACCGTTTCCATTCATTCTGACTGAAAAAATAATTGAACAGTACCACTTTCAGCCACTTGATTGCAGCAGAGTAGTAGTAGTAACTGTATGGCATGCCTTTGTATCATGTAATAGGTAAAAGTGGCTATAATGACAAATTCAAAAAAGTTCAATACAAAAAAAACAACTGGACTTTATTTATTATACTTTATACTTTAATGGTTTTGTCTTGCACTTTTTTGAATTTACCATGTCCTGGATGACTGTGTCATTAATAGCTGGAGAAGATTCTCAGTCGGCTTGCCATACCCCCACCTTCATTCTGCTTGCTGCTTGGAGCAAGTCAAACGAGCTGCACCGCCCCGACGAAATGCAGCTAATTTGACCATTAAAGTGCATTTATTAAGTAAAAGTTCAACTGAGACACCCCTTTGCTATAATTTTGAGCAAACAAATAATTGTTTTAGGTGCTTTTCTTGTTAAATTTCAAAGAAACAAGCAGCGTTCCCCCTTATTTTTTTCCTCTCTCTACGTGCTCCTGGAGCACCGAGGCAGCAAATACAGCTTATTTGACCATTAAAGCCCTTTTATTAGCAAATGTTAGACAGACACACCTTTACTATAATTTTGAGCAAACAAATAATTGTTTTTAAGTGTTAATCTTGTTAAAGTCCTCCTGTGCACACTCCCACAGCTGCCATTTGACAGCCCATCAATTTTTGGCAAAACACCGGCCAACATTTCCAGGTTGTCAACCATGACGCATAATAGATGCGACGTGTACGGTGAAGTGACATATTTATGAATTTATACACTTTTTTAGACACATTTGGACTGATGCAACTTATAGGGCGGTGCAACAGGTATGGCAGAAAATATGGTATGTATACATATATATGTTCAACAAAGACTAACCTTTTGTTGGCAATTTACACATTTGTTTTTGCATTTTAACTCAGTTTGACATCAAAACATCTGCTAATTAACTGTAAATACATATAAATCTGTAGTTTTATTATTTATACCAGGTTAATAATCTGTAGACAGCCATCAAATGCTGATAAGGAGTAAAGTTTTGTGCACAGTCAACACAGCAGCGCTGTGAATTAACTTGTGTAATTTGTGTCACAGCCACTTGTGAAACCGGTAAAGCTGCGGTGCATCTAATTGTTTTAAATGTGTGTTTACGAGCAGCTTTTATCACTTTGATCGCTGCGAGACGAGAGGAAAGTCTTACCAGTAGATGTTTCTGCAAGCGCTCGTTCTTCTCCGCCTCGGTCATCCTCTCCTCCTCGCTGCGGTCCTTGTACGTGGCCGCCGCCGTGAACTCGGCGCTGGCCTCGGCGCTGTCCTCATCGTTCTCGTCGTGGTCGTTCTCTGTGTTGACGGGCTCCTGAACCGCCATCACTTTGTTCTTGAGCTCTTCTTTGGTTTTCTCCAGATCCTCCTGCACCATGGTTGCCTGACGAATTCAAGAATGGGTTTGTCACCAACAGGTGTGGGGATGAGAGGGCTGATCTTTTATCAGTCATCAGCTTTAAGCAGTTTTTATTTCTATAAGCAGTCAGTAGCTCAACAAATATTAATTTACCATCACATAATAAAACTAATCATCCAGACTGAAAGGTGCGTTTTTAATAAAACAGCTAATTTATTCAAATTAACTATTTTTCTACCAGATCTTTTCTAAATGATTGCAGCAAGAATTTGTGAGCACGTCTGCTCACTCCTCACCACAAGGTGGCAGCAGAGTTCAATTTGTTCAACAGCAAAAGGAGAACAATGTTAACAGTTTTCTATATTTACACTGTCTCAACATGCATAAAGAGAGGGCAAAAACAAAGTTATCAACTTTTTAAAGTTAAAAATAGAAAAAAGGATGTGATGATTAAAAACTACCTTTATAGTCTTCCTCCATTTTTATTTAGAAAATAGAAATGCATCTAAAATATATTGCCAGCAACACTAAAAATAAAGCTGAAAGTGAGAAATTCTACTAAATACGTTTTTTATTTTATTAGAAGAACTAAAGAAAGCAGTCCAGTTACAAGACAAGAAAATTGATTTATGTGCAACCTTCCCTTTCTGAATAAACACTCCATTAGTGTTTAAAAAAGGTATTTATGTGGAGTCAGCAGAAAGAGAAGAGAATAAATAACGGAGACCTTTTGTTGCCACTCTGTCGCCTCGTCTTCTTTCTTCTTCTTAGCGTCCTCCAGCAGGGAAATCTTTGAAGTCAGCTCAGCCAACTCAGTGGCCTGAAACAGCAAAATTAAATGTTTTACTGACATCAACTATAGACAACTTTACAAACATGTAACTTCTCCATCTGTTTAAAATCATGTGTTTATGATTAGTAGGTGTTGTTGAAAAATTACCAGGTGTTCCTGGTTCTTCATCTGGTTCTCCGACTGTTGCAGCAGAGACATCTTGGCCTCCTCGGCTCCCTTCAGCTCCGACTCCAGACGCTCAGCCTCCACCTGAGCTCGCTTCCTCTCGTGCTCCAGCTCCAGAGCCCTGTGTGTCTGCTCCTCCAGCTCTGCGCGCACACACACACACATGGTCAGACTGATTACAGCACAACATCTAGTTTTGTTGGCGTTCAGAAAACGTCACCCACCTTGCTGGGCTTTTTTCGTTTGCTCCTCGATCTGCTTTAGTCGCTCCATCAGCTCCTCCTTTTCCTTCTCAATCTTCTCCTTCTCTTTTTCTGCGAGTTCTCTTTTCCTCTTCTCGTTCTCCAGCAGCGCTCTAATGGAAACAAAGCATGATGGCTTGGATTAGTCCCAACCATCTAAGCAGAGTACATGATCATGGTACTTGACGGAAACTATCATTCCCATCAAACCCATCATTCTGCTGTGGTCTAGAATATCTGACTCAGGGTTTCTGCAGAAATCAGCCAATCCAATTTAATGCTTTTTAATGCCACTGACAATGAATACATCCTTAGTTCACAAGCTTTTCTTTTCAATTCATACTTATTTAAATAAACACCCCAGATCCAAAAGAGGCATGAAGCATCATCATGTATGTTTGTAGATACTTTTACTGTCACTGTTAGGCTGCCTTCAGGCCTGCTTCGCAAAAGAGATCTCAGTGAGACTTGCCTGGTTAAATAAAGGTGCATAAATAAATAACCACTGTCAAATATAGTTCCCATTAGACTGCATTAGAAAATAGTCCTACCAGAAAAACCACCATGCTCATAGGATACCTGTAACCAGTATTTTCTGTGCACACCGTTATGAGAGGATTTTTGGGAGGCAAGGGCATTTTTCTAAATGTTCCTCATCGATGGCTTCTTCAAATGCTAAAGGACCTTTTAGAGACAATAGATGGCGAGCTTTTGAAAAGTTATGAAGAAAAAAATAATTGTTGGGCTTGATCCACTGGAGGTGGACAAAGCGTGTTGAAAGTCAGACTCTTAATCAAACACCATGAATATGTGCTTTACCTTAAATAATCATCAAATGGAAGGTAGCAGATAAAACATGATGAAACTGTGAAAAGCTGAATGAGCAGTGTCAGGAATGTGGATCACTGCCCCACATGTGTGTTCAACAGGTCTATCAAGCCCTTCTTCAGCTCTGAATCTGACCGATTTGTTTAGTGCAAACAAAAGAAGTAGTTCAAAAGTGCAAAGATCCACACTTTAATGAAGGCGGTGCACTGGATCAGTAGCTCTTCATGACATTGTGGTTGTTGCTCTCTACATCAGAGTCAGGGGTAAATCAAATGCATCAAAAAAGCATACCATGGTTTCTTGATTCTGACATGGCCCCATGCTTCATCGATTCTTGCTGTGGTGAACTAATGTTTGAAACCCAAAACGATTCTGTGAGTCATCATCATCATTCTGTCTGTAATAAACCTGTTGTTTACTGTTTACTATAATCTTGGGCATACGAATATTCATCTTTTAGTGTTAACATTGTTTAATTCAAGAACTAAAGCAGAAAAAAAAACAGTGAATCAAACTAAAAGACACAAACAGGCTCCAGAGGTGGCTAAACATTTTTTTGCACAACACCGGCTCACCTTCCACAGATTCTGTTTTGGTTCTTAATTTTTCTGTAAAATCCTTCCCCATCCTGACCATCAACAGGCTGCAGCCGTGCTCTAAAGTCCTTGTTTTCCAGCCACGTCAGCCGAAGTTCACCCATTTTGTTTCGGCTCCAGAAGTTTCCCATTTTTCCTCAAAGACAGGTGAGCACTGACCGGCCAGAAACAATAATGGTTCTGCGTGTTACTCTAATATATTGCCAAGATGAGCGAGTCCGGCTGAGCGGTTTCCAAAATCGCTCATTTTTATTGAAAACTAATGAAAAAATATTTAATGCCACCGAGATACAAATTTAATATGAATTATTTAATATTTAATTTGTAATGCCATTTAAGGCTTTCAATTTATCTAAATCCATTTAATGACTTTTAACTTTGTCTGATGCTCCGTGGAAACCCTGTGGCAGCGTCAAGTTATTTTTCCTGGACCATCAGAATAAACTCATGTTGTTACCGCTCCATCTTTTTGTGGTTCTTCTCCTCCCGGGCCTGAGCCTTCATCTGCTGCACTTCGATGGTGTCCGGCTTGCGGCGGCGCATGTACAGCTCGTGGTTCCCCATGCACAGAGCCAGGATGCGCTTGTTGATGCGCAGTCTCGGGGCATAGAATACAAAGTCCTACAGATCCAACATTGCAGAGATTCATCAGTTTAAAATAAATTAATCTTATCATGTGAAAAGACAGTTATGGTCATGTTGATCAAACTTTGGAAATCTCATAAGAGACATGCTAGCTCTCAGAGTATGTGGTGAGGATGAGTCTCAGCTACTACCGCATCAAACTTCAGCTCAGTAACTATAAAACTGGATGAGTTATGAACAGTTTTTGTTTTCTAATGCTACTTAGCTGTGGCAGCCAACTTGAAAAGGCTGAACTCTAAAAGTTAATCAGTTGAAGATGTGCATCCAGTGATTACATTCTGAGAATTTCAGCCAAATTCATTCAGGATTTTGTAAGATATTTTGCTAACAGACCGGCTAACGTACACACACAGACATCATCAAAAACACAGACCCGTTGCTCTGTAGCAGCAAGTGCTAAACATTTATAGAAGACATTCCTAAATGGTGATTTCTGTTAAGAGTTTACGTACAGGGGCTTTCTTGTCAATGGGTTTGATGACGAACTTCTTGTCGTTGAAGGAAATGTTCCTTATTTCACTCCAGGGAAAGCCAATTTTGGGAGTCATTCTGTAAGAAAAGGCAACAATAAAAAGCCCTGATCAGCTCTGAGGTTCACTCTGCAGCCATGATGAAAACCAAACCCCGCTGGTGGGATCGCTCACTTGTCGTTCTGCTCGTAAATGTTGAGGCCGAGGGCGTCCACCCCGAGCCACAGCTCAGTTCCTTTCTTGTTCTTGATGTTGAAGTAGTTGACTCCGTACATCTCCAGGTCCTGAGCGATCTTCAGGTACTCCATCATGGACTCCTCCCTGTGGACGTTAAGAGGAGGCTCTCAGTCATACTTCAGAGAGGGTCATCAGCTATTTTGCTAACAAACATTATAACAGGAGAGCACACCTCATCATGCCTTTGTGTTCTTCGTGCCACACTTGAATCCTCTCCTCCCACTGCTCCTTGTTGAGCTTGTGCTGATCCAGAACTCTAGAAACACGAGACGACCGAGTGTCAGACAGATAAAAACCTATGACTAGATGGTGAGGTGGGATGAATGAGAAAAGCTGGAGTTACCTCTGAGGGAGCAGGTTTTCCCCACTCAGATAGCCCGGCGTGTGCACCTCCTTGTTGTAGTCGGCGAACTTGGCCTGCACGGCATAGGAGGCCAGGAGCACGGCCGTCTCTGGAGGGCAGTAGATGTCGTCGTTTAGGATGGCCTCCTTCACCTGCAGGAAGAACAGCCGCTGCGTGGCTTCCTGGATCAGCTCCTCCGAAACATCCTCGGGAAAGAACTTGGCACGAAACTTAAACAGCAGCGGGCTTTCCTTCCTCACATCCTGGGCTGTCACCTAAAACAAGACGTGGCACAAGTGAGGGGTGGACTTCAAGTAGCTTTTGATTGTAACAGAACAGGTTGATCTTGTTAAAGAGCTAAAAAGCTTTAAGGAACAATTATTATGAAGAGCTAACCTTCTTATTGAGCTTCAGCCATGTGGAGAAACCCTTTGTATCCTGGTACTGAAGTCCAAAGTACCAGACCTCTCGCAGTCCAATGGTTTTTACAACCTGAAAACACAAAGATGTTGTTACAGTAACTTTAAGTACGAGTTACTGAAATACCTCAGAGTGATGTAATGGTGCTGTGGTGAGGAGGTTTTTCCATGAAATCTTAGCCAGGGATTCCCTGATTGCAGCTTTAGGTTGTTTTTTTGTTTGTTCGGGCTTTCTCCAAATGATCCAGTTTCCTCCCACACAGAAACGTTTAGAAACGTCAGGCTGCCTGGTGATTTTATACAACTTGAAGGTTTGTAGGTCATTGATCGTGTTTTTTAGTTTTCCACGTGGTTTTTGCAATAGAACTGCTTCTGCACACTTTGCTGCTCCTACAGCCATTCCTACATCTCAGCTCAATCAGGAGACGGCTGCTATGAGCTGTTCTGCTACTTTAAGGTGCAAGTTAACACTTTACTACCTTTAACTTCCATTTAGTCTTTTGGTACGTACAGCTGATAGTTAACTATTTGCTCATTTTAGCCAATAACAATACATTTGCTACTTTTACCTTTAAGCTAGCCTTTTACAAAATTTAGCTAGCTTTTTGCTACTTTTAACTATAACTTTACTATTTGTTATTAGTTCATCTTTTGTTACTTTAAGCTATTTGCTAATTTTAGCCACTAACAATCCATTTGCTACTTTTAACTTTAAGCTATCCTTTTGCTACATTTAGCTAGCTTTTTGCTCCTTTGAACTTTTAGCTAGCACTTTAGTATTTGTAACTTTTAGTTTTGTCTTTTGTTATTTTTAGCTGTTGGTTAGCCATTTGGGGCAGCACGGTGGCACAACTGGTAGAGCTGCTGCCTCTCAGCGAGCAGGTCCCTGGTTCAAATCCCGGTCTGGGGGCCTTTCTGTGTGGAGTTTGCATGTTCTCTCCGTTAATGTGTGGGTTTTCTCCAGGTACTCCAGTTTCCTCCCACAGACCAAAAACATGCATGTTAGACTGATTGGTAACTCTAAATTGTCTCTAGGTGTGAGTGAGAGAGTGAATGGTTGTTTGTCTCGTTTGTCCCCATGTGTCGCTGTGATGGACTGGAGACCTGTCCAGGGTGTACCCCGCCCCTCGCACAGTGCTTGCTGGACATGGGCACCAGCGACCCCCGTGACCCAAAATGGAAGAAGCGGGTAAAAGGTAATGGATGGATGGACGGATGGTTAGCCATTTGCCAATTTTAGTCTGTAACTAGCCATTGGCTACTTGCAGCTTTTATCTAGTATTTTTGCCCCCTTTGGTATTAGCTGGTGTTCTTCTGTTATAACTCTTCTTCAGTACTTTTAAGCTCTCTTTGTTCACACACACACGCACGCACGCACGCACGCACACACACACACATTCTTCATAAAATTTTAGTGGACTTGTTTTCCGTTTGTGTGTCCGCCCTGTGATGGACTGCTGACCTGATGGGATTCAGGTGTACCCCGTCTTCCACCCCCCAACAGTCTGAAACAATAAAGAATAATAGAGCACCTCTTGCTGTGGTTTCAACATTTCAGACCTACTGACCTGGTGTGTGACCTTTTGACCCCAAAGCTCCATGAATAGACGGTGCTGATTACTCTCACTCAGTTTTAAAGTTCTCTCATTTTGCAACTTTCTGCCTAAAAAAAAATCTCACCAGATCAAGTTTCTACACATGGTTTCTGCAGAAATCAGCAATCAAACGTAATGCTTTATAATGCCTTTCTTTTACTTTTTTAATGCCATCAATGGTGAATGCATGAGCTAATACATGTCCATCAAATGGAAGTTAGCAGATAAAACATGATCAAATGGTAAATTCTGAATAGGAGAAATAAATATCTAGCCATGGATTACTGCCACACGACACCTATCAAGCCCTACTGAACTGAACGTGACTTTTATATATTTGGTGCAAACAACAAGAGTTGGCACAAAAATCCACACTTTACATAAAATGAAGTAAAATGAAGGTGGTGCATAAATAAATAGAATTGGAAAAGTATAATGCAATACAGTAGTCCCTCGCTACTTCGTGGTTCGTTTTTCATGGACTCGATCCATCGCGGTTTTTCAAAGTAAAAAGATTGGGCATGACACACAATGGCTGATCGATGGATGGACCACACGATCGGCATGGATTTTTTTTTTTTAATAAATTATTTTAAATGATTTAGCACCTGTGTGCAGCCCACAGCTGTGTGGGATAACTTCCTCCTGCAGCTGATCTCTGTGCAGAGCAGAGAAGTGGGCGTGGCCAAGAGTGCAGCTGGAGGCAGAGAGCTGAAATCAAGACATTCTGTGCTCTCAAATTTTGCTGGGCGATTGTCACAGAAATTTTTGTGATAAACGATAACATTGTTTAAAATTTGACAATAATTAGTAATTATTGTCAAATTTAAGAAGAAATGTTGGTTGAATTTTTTTGAGTGTAGGATCTTTTTCAACCACCAGATGACAGTATAAGTTTGAACCGAAGGATGGATAGTGAGGGAGCGAGCAGCGTGTCTCTAAGAAAAATGGGAGGGAGTCCCCTTGACGTGACATGGGCTGTCTCTCAATTTTTTTTTCAGTGCTCAAAATGGCAGATTCTCTATGTGGTTTGAGCTCTTTAGCATAGCTTTTTTCAAACAAAGTTTTTAATTAAAAAAAAATCAGTAAACCAGTTCTCAGCTTCTTTTAGCAGAGAAAAACAACGTTTTACACGAAGGCACGGGTTTCAACCATGAATTTTTGGAGCTTCGACAAGTCAGAGGTTTTTTCCCTGAGGTTGGCCTGTTAGCTTAGCTCGTAGCTTAGCTTCTCAGCTTAGCTGCTTTTAACGATCCAAAAACATGTGTGCACCCACAGCGGCTAAACAATTTTTTGGCACAACACCGGCTCACCTTTCCACAAGTTGACCACTACAGCTCGTTTTTCTCTTTCCAAATCCTTCACCATCCTGACCATCAATGGGCTGCAGCTGTGCTCCAAACTCCTCCTTTTCCAGCCACTTTAGCTGGAATTTACCCGTTTTGTTTCTGCTCCTTTAGTTCTCATGCTTTCCCTCTAACCTGCGATCTTCTGACATTTGAATACAGCCCGGTCAAAAACAATAAGCAGTAACAATGGTTCTGCGTTTTACTCTATATATCACCCCAATGAGCGAGTTCGGCTGAGAGGTTTCCAAAATTGCTCATTTTTCTTGAAAATTAATGAAAAATATTTATTGACACTGAGATTAAAATGTAATGCTTTTTAATGCCATTTAAGGCCTTAAAATGGGCTTAATCCATTTAATGACTTTTATGCTGCTTATTAATGCCTCGTGGAAATCTGCTACTTTACAGCTATTCTACAAACAGTGGAAGCAGAAACATTTTGACTCCATTTGTCTGCTGTCTTTGTTTCTTCAGTTGCAACTTTCATCACATCTGCCCGTTTGATTTTATAGAGGGGGTGCACCAGTCAGGTTTTTACTTGACAAGAGACCAGCTACAAGATCTGATTTTTTTCCTGCTGTCAGTGAACGCCACATCCCTAGGTTCACTCTGACAAGAACAAATTTTCTGTTTAAAGTTTAATGAGTGAAGAAAATTCAAAGTGAGCCTGTTGTAATGATCTGTGAAGGTGTTTAAAAATGAAGTCAGAGGAAACACAAGTGGAGTAAAGACACTAAATTAAAAAAATAAAGAATATGTCAAGCTTTTCTTCGATATAGCAGCTGTCAGTAAAACTGATAATATCAATATATTTTTGTTTTGAGGCGTGTAAAAAGTTAAAAATGTTTGTTTCTAGAAAAAAGTTGTTTTGTATTTGTACAAACTCTTGTCTAATCACCTGGAAGATTAACGTTTGTTGCTATGAGCGATCATGTACTGTATAAGCCTGTCTGTTCGTCTGTTAATAAAATATCTCTTGAACCAATGGAGGAATTTTAAACTCACAATCATTGAAAATACATCTAATATTGATTAACATTTGAACTAATCATACTTAGCCAACATAAAATGACTAACTATAACTACAACAAATACTGAGGTAAAATATGGTGTGGTAGTAGCTGAGAGTCATCCCCAACACATCCTCTAAACATCTAAAATTGAGCTTCATCTTTGTTTGAAACTTTGTGAGGCAACAGTTAATATTTGTTCCTTCGGGGAATTCTATTTTTATATTATTTATGGATTTCCAGTCACAGAAAAAGCTCTGTAACCCAGCGCTGCTTCAGAGAACATTTAAGTTTAGTTTCTGTAAATGGTCCAGATGACATGACTTAACCGTGTTTATTTTGTTATCTACCGGGATGATTGAGCCTACTAGCCTTTCTTTTTTCTTTTCTTTTAGACAGACACATTTTCTGTTCAAACAGAAATTAGTTAGCCAGGTGATTATCACTCTTGTAAGAAAATAATGAGTAGTTTACTGAATAACACAATGCAATGCAGTAAAACGTTAAAGGCCAAGTCTTCTTGAAGGAATGCATATCGCCCGCCACACTCCATGAGTTTTAAAGTAAAACCATTTTAAGTTGAGAAACAGCAACGTTGTAACTGTTTTGTTCAAAACTTTAAAGAAATGAGATGAGTGCAATACATCATGTCCAGAGTGCCAGTTGTGAGAATGACTCTCAGCTACTACCACACCAGATTTTAGCTCAGTACGAGTAAAACTGGTTTAGTTAGAGCAATTTTTGTGTTGGCTTATATAATTTAGCTATGGAGGCCATCTTGAATTTGACTGACTGCAAAAATTGCTCTGTTGTAGATGAATAGCCAATGGTTACTTTATTTTAAAAAATCTGGTTCATGGGACATTATGCTAACAGACAAACAGGGTTAACACTTGATGCTAAAATCTGAGCATGTGTTGTGAATGAATGTGAGCTAGAACCACACCAAGTTTTAGCACATCTGTAAAACATGACTGCACTAAAGCTATTTTTGCATTTTCTAAGGTCAGTTGGCTGTGGCGGCCATCATGAATTGGGTTAGCGCAAAAGGATAATCAGTTGAAGATTCACGTCCACACAATCTTCCTGAAAGCTCCATTATAAACAGTCTAGTGGATCACGAAGTAGTTCGCTAACAGACATACAAAGCTGATTCTAAGTAATACAGCATGTGTTGTGGAGCAATCTCAGCTTCTACTGCACCATTTTAGGTTAATATCTATAATACTTTAAAAGTTAGTCATTTTTGTGTTTTCTATGACTGCTGGCTGTGACAGCCATCTTGAATTAGACTGGCTTCAAAATAATGTCAAATGTGTGTAAAACCATTAAGAATCTTGGCTTTAAGGTAAAACGTTTAGGTTCAGATGTATTTAAGTGCAGACATGAGGGTTTGATGAACAGTCAGAGGGGGGAGTCTCCCCTACCTGGTCAAAGAGCTGCTTTCCTGTCGTGTTGGGCTGAATGGCGAACTCCAGCTCAGCATCCATGGTGGTGACTCTGACACTGATCTGAGAAACAAAGAAAATAGGGAAATTAACAGACGAGACACAGAGAGCAGTGTTTCCCCTACATTACTGGCTTTGGCAAGGCGCTTGTCAGACAGCGTGTGAGTGTTGGCCGGGGGTTAGCGGAGCGCTACGTTACTAATGCTAGGTTGAAGCCACTTCGAACAATCTCTGCTCCATGACTGTTAGCAGAACTTGCAGTGGCGGGGCGTGTTTTGGTAAGCAGGGCACTCAGTTCTGTTGACCGTGTGGGGCGCCCTCCTTGGATAATGTTAGGGGAAACACCGAGTACATTTAGAGCATTTCAACAAGCTGGAAAAGTTTGAACAAATGCTTTGATAAGAAACGACAAATTTGTTTCTTGAGTTGTAAACAATTCTCTACACTTTAAAACCTTTAATCAAAAACAAATGTAACGTCAAATAAAAAATATGTTACAAGTGCAAGTAGGGCTGGACAATGGATATCGATATATGTCAAAATATATTTTTATTCAATAATGGTGATATGAGTTTTAAGCACATTTTCGATAATTCGATATGATTGCAGCGTTTCACTGACATTTCTTTTTCTGTTCGGTTTGAAGTGGCCGCTTCAGTTTCAACCCGAACAGAAAAACTGCGACACAACTACGCAAATGCGTGGTGACGTAGATGTTACGCAGAGCTCGAGTCCAGAAGGCGTTAGCGGTAGCAGGCTAGGCTAATCTCCAACGCGCGTAAAGTTTTCACTTCGAAATGAGCACCCATGACCGTCAGAATGTGACTGAACAAGCTTTCACAAGCGAAGAGAAAGCAGATGACATCACTGATAAGAGAGGAAAGACTAATCCGGTGGTGCAGAAGTGGTTCAGCTATCTAAGATCCAATAAACTGCAGGTTTCAGTCAGTGTGCTGCAAAATGTGACGGAGAGTCGTTCCAATTAGCGGTGGGAACAAATCTAACTTGTTCCTCTTGATAGAATATGCTGAGAATCAGTAGATGAAGCACAAAAGTTTGAGCCAATGTGTCCCTGAAACAACTCCCCCATCTTTATCAAAAGAGAAACCCATGCAGCAAACGCAGATGTTTGCTGCATGGGTTAGGTTATGTTGTTGTTTAAAGTTAAAACTATTAATATTGACAAAGTTGAGAGTTTTATGTTTATTTGACAGTGATTTCAATTTTTTGTGAAGGCTACAAATAAAAGGTGAACATTAATTTATCTGTACAGTTTTTCTGAGGCTTTTATATTGTTTATATCGATATTGGAATTATATTGTTATTGATCAAAATTAAGAAATATATTGTGATAAAAGTATTGGCCATATCATCCAGCCCTAAGCAGAAGACTACACATATCCATTTACTCAAAATAGGTTCAATAAGTGAACATCTACCCCCCTGAAACCCATCATCTTATTGTTTTTGAGGAAAAGAAAATCAGAATTAACTAAAGACCCTGCCCCATGGCTCCACACTGTGCTGTAAAAACTGTGCCAGTCTGTCCCGGTCTGAGCTCAGAACTTATCTACAGGAAGTAACCATATCCTCTGGAGGCTGGGCCTTGCGAGGCGAGACAGCTAAACAGCGCTCTCTCATGAGAGTTGTCTATATCCTGTCATGAATCGAGAAAACCTGCATGCAGTTCAACTCTGGATTTTGGCAACAATATCTGAAAATAGGGTTGGTTTTCTCTTCATGAAGCCTCAACAGTTCGTTACAGCCAGAGAGCTTTTTATTTGAAAACGGTCACAGTCATTGAGTCATCCAAACCTATTTATCAAAAGTTGATGTATTCATTTAACCGTTAATACTCAAAGAGGTTACTCGGAGTTAACCGTGATCTTGTGGTTAGAAAGCTGACTGGACAGGAATTTCCCACTTTCTCTTTAAGAGCTGATGCAAACAGCGTGCCTATCGGGAAATAACTGAGCAGGCGGAGGCCCTCGCCTGCCCTCCCCAACAATGCGATGCATTATTTCCCAGTAGTGGGGCTGATAGAGCTGCGTTCTTTCCCATCCCTGTCAGCAGACCCCCATTTACAGCTCAGGACACTCGCCTCTCCGTCACTTCCTGCCACCCCCAGCAGTGAGGAGTCCAGTGTAGCTAAAAAAAGTTATTTTTATTTAAGGAAGAATTAAGGCGGAACATCTGAACGGAGAGGAACTGTGCAGATAGAGTTCAGCTCACCAGCACCATCACCCTGCCTGTGATTAAGCGGTTTTATTTCTGGAGTCAGAATGGTTCGTCTTGCATGAAAAGGGAACTACGCTTCTCAATTTTCTGCCTGGTTTGGGTGTGTCTCACAGCCAGCAGTCAAAAGTGCTTCAGGTTCTATTTTTAGCACACAGAAAAAAAACACCACTTTGACACCATGTGTGAAGTTTCCACGACTTCGTCTTAACGTTTTGTGACCTAACCACAAACAAAGTTTAACAGGAGCTCATTAGAAAGTGTTTATTTATTATTCTTATAATTATTGTGTTGCTGAAAGACTTTATTAAAAGACACTTATCTGAAATAAATATAGTAACAAAAAAAAGCAACAGCATAAATTTAGTCATAACATAAAGGGGAATTAATATAGTAATCGATAATGGAAAATATGCAAATAAATATTTTCTACAAAATATAAAGTCCGATTATGGAATTTTAATATTACTGATAGTTTTATTTCTAATTTATTGCTTAAAGTTTATAGTTTTTCTTTGGTTTCCTTGATGCCAGCAAATTTAAAGACAGTCAAAGCTTTAGTTTTTAAATTTGAGCAGAATGCAGTGAAAAATATTGTTAAAATCTTCTGAAAGACTTTTAAAATAAAGTTAAACTTTTTTTTATATCAGAGCTATTGAAGCAACAGCAGCATAAACATTTACACCACAAAATTGTATCAATTTATTTAGAAGTATATGAATAATAACAACAACAATAATAATAATAATAATTATATGCATGCAGCATGTGTATAAATGACAGCTGCCATTGAAACTAAGTTTTAGATATTTTCCTTATTCTGGTGCGCGTAACATGGGTGCACTTTAAACAATTTAACAAATTTAAAGAATACCCTGTGATATTCAGCCTGGTTTGGGTGCATCTCAAACCAAAAGAAAGTCATGTTAAACACATAATTTCTGTTGATTTTACCCCACCAGTTTTTAATAAACTACACTAACTACTTTAAAAATGTACATTACAGTACTATGTAGAAGTCAAACCATCATTATCATAAATACCACATGGCTGCAAATCCACAGGAAATCTAGAAATGTTCTGGTAAGATGAAAACTCTGGCATATAAAGAATTTTTTTTAAAAGTTGTGCTTGTCACAAAACACAGAATTACATAAACTTCACTAAAAGATTAAAGGAAATAAAAACTCAATAGACAAGTTCATGCAGAGGTGAACAGAGGAAAACGCCCAGGTTACACCACCAGAAACAGGAAGCAAAACTACTAAATAAGTAAAGCTTATTTATACAATGGTACGCTTTGATCAAACAGTATATTTAACAAAGATTAATATGTTCTAAATATTTAAGAGACTGGCACTTGTCCTGTTCTTACATTCTCAACCTGGTGTTATCTCAGTGTGTGTGTGATTCACAACCACAGTCCTTTTAACTCGAGCCAAGACGACAAAGATAAATCTCTTAGTAACACAAAAGAAGCAAACTGTGGACTGACATTTCTTTAGGACGACAGAGCAGCACGTCCCCAACACCGAGTACGATACGCGTGGTTTGTTGTACTAATACACAAACGCTTAACGGCTGATAGATCTGGTCGTACATCTGAGTCATCAAAAATAATTTTTAAATCAAGTTCACCTTGATTCCTTAACAAGAGAAACAATGTGATTAATAAAAGGTATTTGTGTGATTTAAGCTAAATTGTGAACATTAAACAGTTTAGATAGTTTTAATATAAATGAGAAATGTGAGGCACAGTCAACAAATCCTGCTCTAATGCTTCATCCTGTCAAATAACCTAAGGGTAAATCATGTGACTAGACATGTGAACAAGACAACAAGCATGTTGTGCTCTAAATAAGAAATAAACTACAAAACGGATTCCAAAAAAGTTTGGACACTAAACAAATTGTGAATAAAAACTGAATGCAATGATGTGGAGATGGCAAATGTCAATATTTTATTCGTAATATAACATAGATGACAGATCAAAAGTTTAATCTGAGTAAATGTAACATTTTAAAGGAAAAATATGTTGATTCAAAATTTCACAGTGTCAACAAATCCCAAAAATGTTGGGACAAGTAGCAATAAGTGGCTGGAAAAGGGAAATTGAGCATATAACGAACAGCTGGAAGAACAATTAATAATAATTAGGTCAATTGACAATATGATTGGGAATAAAAAGAGCTTCTCAGAGTGTCAGTGTCTCTCAGAAGCCAAGATGGTAAGAGGATCACCAATTCCACCATTGTTGCACAGACAGATAGTGCAGCAATACCAGAATGGTGTTACCCAGCGTAAAATAGCAATGACTTTTAAGTTATCATCATCAACCGTGCATAACATCATCAAAAGATTCAGAGAATCTGGAACAATTACTGTGCGTAAGGGTCAAGGCCGTAAAACTCTACTGGATGCTCGTGATCTCCGGGCCCTTAAACGTCACTGCACCTCAAACAGGAATGCCACTGTCAAGGAAATAACAGAATGGGCTTAGGAATACTTCCAGAAAGCATTTGTCAGTGAACACAATCTACCGTGCCATCCGCCGTTGCCAGCTGAAACTCTACAGTGCAAAGAGGAAGCCATTTCTAAGCAAGCTCCACAAGCTCAGACGTTTGCACTGGGCCAGGGGTCATTTAAAATGGAGTGTGGCAAAATGGAAGACTGTTCTGTGGTCAGATGAGTCACGATTTGAAGTTCTGTATGGAACACTGGGACACCATGTCATCCGGACCAGAGAGGACAAGGATAGCCCAAGTTGTTATCAACGCTCCGTTCAGAAGCCTGCATCACTGATGGTATGGGGTTGCATGAGCACTTGT